AAGATTAAACACACTGAGCACCACGGCCAGCGTTACACTGGCTAATGTTAGGTTTCACAGAATAAACACACTGAGCATCACGGCCAGCGTTACACTGGCTAATGTTAGGTTTCACAGAATAAACACACTGAGCATCACGGCCAGCGTTACACTGGCTAATGTTAGGTTTAAGAGTAAAACTATTCAGCACCAGGGACCACTCTATACAATGCCATTAACAAAAATCCTAAAAATAACCATTAGTTGTAGGCCTAATACACAGTATATTCAATAATATATCCATATTAGCTACCTCCACTATACTGTATGCTTTTGATTAGGATATGCAACAGTTGAACAGTTGAAAACGTTTCCTGATACAGTTACAAAGTGCTTAGCCATATATATATATATATATTATATTAATGTGTGTGTGTATAGAGAGAGAGAGAGAGAGAGAGAGAGAGAATTATAAAAAGTAAATGCAAGTAAAATTAAGAAGTATAATTATAAAGGGCATTGAAGAAATGATTAACTTAAAAAATGTATAATGGCAACAGTGCAGAGGTAAAACTATAAGTAATACATACCAAAATAAAACCATATTTACCATAAGAATTTAAGTCAGGACTTGGCTCTGAATGTATCTTGTCAAACTGCTTTTATTTTGAAAATCAGTCGGGGAAGTCGTCCTTGTCTTGAAACCGAGCAGCTTACCGCCCCTGCTGCTAAATTGACGCGCAGAGAGGTTTGGATGTTATTACCGGGAGATCCGCTGGATTCAGGCTGAGAAACAAGACCGTGGCTCTGGTACAATGACAGCGTCCAAGGATTCGAGCAAGTGGAAATCGAAGGAGGAGCAGCAGGATGAGGTAGCCAGAAAATAGTCAGATTTATTTTTGTTCATTCAGCTGTGACTGCTGTGTAGACAGACGCTAGACTCATCCTGTGATATATTTTGGAAGGACACTGGGAAAACTGTGGTTACTATATGCATGTCGTTGGTGCTGTCATAGGTTATGATAAGAATATTATGGGGAGATTGGATACAATAAAGTACAGGAAGGTCAAAGCTACAACTCATTGCAACTCAGAAATCACGACAGAAATAATTGGGCAGATATATTCTCTGCTTTGCTGTGCGTCTTCGTCGTGCATGGAACCACTGAATTTGAATTGATTACGGGTTGTAGTTGTACATTTATTCTTGCTTGGTTAGTTCTACACATGTGCACACTGTATGTAATAATTATAAAAATGACCTCGTCTTCTTAAGACAGAATACATTTTGTATCATAACTGTTTGTTACACGTGTGGTTTTCCTGTTGTTATAGGCGATCTTTATAGTAAAGTGAAAGAGTTTTATTGCAAATAGCCATATCTCGGGAATTATTCCAGTCTCAGCTTCTCCAAGTGATCTCTGCCCTCAGGAAGTCAGACTGGGCAGTGTCCAGTGCAGTTTCTGTCCCTGGTGCTGTCCATAAAGTTGTCAGTGTTTGAGTTGGAGTGAAACCTGAAGCTCTATGAGCTCATTGTGTGAGTTCAGTAACACAAACTCAGAGCCATCACCGAGTCAGTCCCTTCTGGACGCTCAAAGCATTCAAGGCCGAGGTGATTTCTACATTTCTGTTATTGTTAACCATTTCAATAAAGCGACTAAAACCAGATGAATTGCGTCTATTATCCGTAAGGTCTGTGACTCCACAACCTGACTTGGCTTATTGTCTGTGCCACAGAGTTTCATTGCTATTCAAAAACAATGAAAACACATCACCGAGCCTCATGTTCCTTCATTGGCCAAACGATGGGCACTGTAGTTTATCTAGAAACAGCTCCACAGACTAATGACTGCCATCACCTTCACCGTCTCAAGACGTCACTGCGCATGCTCTGAACAGACTGTAAGCAACCACCGGTTTTTCTTTATCTTTTCAATTTGTACAAACTTACCTCTTAATGGAGTGCTCTCTGTCTAGCTGGTTCTGGGAGGGTCTGGACGGTTCCCGTAGCAATGGTTCCAGAAAGTCCCATTCATTGTAGCATTTCGCCTACATTCTATTTGGGGTGCTCGATGCATCCCTGTCAGTCGCGGGGTAGGGGTACTGTCGGCAGTGTCCCTCGGTCTCTCCCTCTCAGCACTTCTGTTGTATTTTGTGAATACTCCAGGTCATACAAATAGGCTACAGTTCTATGAATCCATCAAATCCGACAGCCTCTTCTTGTGCTTTAGACTTTATCCCAGGTGTGAATCTAGCTGTATATATATATATATATATATATGCACATACAAAGTCAGGAGGTTGTGATGTGTAGCTCATTATTTCAGAAGTTGTTCACCACTGTAGGTTTACTATTAGGTTATAGTTATGTTAGGGGTAACGTTGACCTTAACACCTAACCAAAGTTCCGGAAAAAGGTACCAACTTCCGGTTGACAATGCCCAAATCTTGGTAGCGATGGTCCAGGCCTATTATCCTTCCTCTCATGTAAACAAAACCACCTGTTCGTTCATCTGCAGATGCAGCATCGCTGAAGAAATTATTTTGGGGAAGTTCATTTAGCCTACTACATAATGCCATATTTGTATGTTTTAATGGATGAAACGTCAAAATAAAGCAACATTTTACAGGTGAGAAGTTACTTACTTATTTTACTGTGAGAAGTGTTGAATTTATTCCTTAACATGACAATGACAATTGAAACTTCAGCTATAAAAAACAAAACAAAACATAACTTGCGTTTTTCTGATGGGCATGTACTATGTATAGGTTCCCAAAAGATATGTTTAAGAGACAAGCTTGCTTGTAGATGTCAGTCTGGGCTTTTCCTGGAAATTCAGCATCCAGGTCTTTTATTTCTGTGCTTTTATCCCTTCAGCCAAAATGTCTCATTCTCTTGCTGTCAAACACACACAAAAACACAGTTGTAAACTTGGACATACTTGAAATCCTTGCTCGCTTTCCTTTCCTCTGAAGTGAGTCTGATCAATAGACACTTGCAGTAAAGTGTGTCAGCTGAAGCTGGCTTTACACGCACTCAGTTACATGGACCATGCAGAGAATTAGCTCCAGGATGTTGAACTAATACTTAGAGAGAAGTCGATGGCCCAGTGGTGTGCAAAGAATACTACCCAGTGCTGCGTGTGTGTGAATCAGTTTTTCCTGCTTCATTAATTAAACATTTTCCACTTCACCAACAGTATATACCATGAAGATTATTCTGAACACATCTGTGCTTCCTGTCTTCACATATTGTCAGAATGGTTTCATCATTATTAGTATACTGTATACAGTAGTTTGCTGGAGTTGATTATCAATTATTCTGAAAATCACATAAGCATTTGATTTATTTTTAACAAGAATTCTCTGGTTTCTGCTCCAAAATGTTTAGATTTGCTGTTTTTCTTTATGTTATGTCATTGTAAATTGAACATCTGTGGGTTTTTGACCTGAACAGAACAGAAGAAGACATCACCTTGATCTCTGGGGATCTCAGATTTATCCATTTTCAAACATTTTATAGACAAAACAAATAATCAATCAGTCAGTCATCAAAATAATTGCTAGTTTGAGATGAAAATAATTGTTAGTTTGTTGTTTGTTAAGGAATGTACTTTATACAGCATGTAATATTAATGCTCTTCAATAGTCAGTATCTTTGAAACCAAAAGGCTTTGGGATGTTTTCAAAGACTTAAAATATATGTTACAGTTACTGTTATTATTACTATTATTATGCTAATTGCTCATGTCAGGTCACATGAAGCTTCAGTGTGAACAAAACAGCAAGAAGCCTGAGTCAGCCACTCTAAGATCTGATTTTATATAAAAGTAAGGTTGAAGTGGGATAGCTGACAATTTAAAACCTGCTTCAGTGGGTTTTTATGTTTTAGTTGTCTGGTCCCAGTCAGAGACCAAAGAACTGCTTGTAATCGAGATCATTCTGCGTTTTCAGTAACAAGTCATGTACCTTGAAAGCTGTATGTGTTTGCTCACCTCTCTGGTGTTACATGGGAACAGTTTCTACATGTAGGTTTCACGCAGGAAACAAGTAGCGCAGCTGGAAAAGTTCAGTCTGACACTTCTGACGTCTGAAAGATGCTTCACACTATTGCCCTTGATTTTTCTTTCTGTCTCTCTCTCAGGCTCTGAAGAAAGGTGAATTAAACACACTTCACTGTAGTGTCACTGCTGGAAATTTGCAAGCACACGTCCATGCCCATTCTCTGGCCAAATGCCAGCTTGAACCAAGAACCCTTCTTGCATCATTTCCCCTCTCTTTTCTCTCCCTTTTTAAAGTTTTGGCTACAGGTAACTTTCATCATCCAAGTCTGGAGTGAGAGTGAAAAGAGTCTTGAGAAATGATGTAACCTGGTAGCTTCCTAACAGCTGGGTCAGAGGTGTCATCATAGAAACAGTCACGCTTTTTTCTGCTCAAGAGCTGCAGAATTTTTTACCTTTGCTATAGATAAGAGCAGCATCTGAAAGCCTGGAATTGAAAAATCAAATTACATTTTCCAAGTCAAGCTCAAAGGTTTTTTTTAAATACAAAAAGCTTTACTCTGTTGATTGTTTTGGTAGATAATCACCACTCTGGCTAGACTGGATAAGCTGCAAACATTTCCTTTCATTGTCCAGGCGTGAGAAGAGCCAGCCTGCAAAATTCATCAAATCAATTCATCTGGTAGTTAGATGCTCAAGATGAATGCTAACATGCCTGCTTGAATCACTGATAAAACACATGCACATCTCACTCAATATATTGTATGTTTTATATCATCTGTCCCATAAAACATACACACAGTACAGTAGGTGGAACAAGGAACAGTAGCAGCAGAACCAATCTATTATTTTGACAAGTTAATTTTTCATTCCATTATATGCAACACAGTACAAATTGTCCTTTATTTTTTCTTATTGGTTAATATGCTATTTGCTATTTTTGCTATTTAAAGCCAGCCACAAAGTTTTCCCACTTTTCCCAGACGACAGTGCTGATTGTTTGTTTTTGTGTGTTTGCAGGAGTTTGTGGACGTCAGCCCCCCTCAGAGGAACTGGAAGGGCATCGCCATCTCTCTGCTGGTGATCGTGGTGGTCTGCTCACTCATCACCATGTCTGTGGTCGTCCTCACACCCAGTATGTCAATGCATATGCTAAGAGCAAGGGGAAGCTACTATATAGATATAGATGGAAATACAGAATATCACTTAACAGTGAACTTAAGGAGCTTTCCGAACTATTCAAACCTTTCTTTTTGGGAAGGGGTCCATCCAAGGGGTCCAAATATAACGAAACACAAACTATTCTGTACTCTAGTATGTGACTGTTTTTGCATTATTGCCATGTGTGCACAAGTGAACAGATGAAAATGTCACTGCATCTCTTTACCAGTGCTTTTCCTTTTGATTTACATTCCTCTTTCAATAGCAAAGCTCAGATCTCAGCATGTCTTTGCTGGCACCGTTTTGATGTGCACTTCGCTGTTGATTGTCTTTTGTTTGTTCTTTTATGACTTGAGTTTCTTGTGTTTTCCCAGTGGAGCTCCCCGGCAGCAGCAAGTCCAGGATGACTGTGGCAGATCTTTACAAACCAGAATTTAGCATTCATGATCCAGAGGCCACGTGGATCAGCGGTTAGTGCTGCATGGTCACTGCTTGGAGAGGTTTTATGTTCAAGGAAAAATGCTACACTTTTTATACTTTTATGTTCTTACTTTCCCTCAATCTGGGAAATACCTCAAATCCATTCAAACAACCTCTAGGGAATGTGAATGTTTTGCTTTCAGCTGTATGTTACAAGTCTGCCTAAATAATGTTTCATTAATTTTCACAGATTAATACACCAACAACTACATAAATGAGACAGAAATCCTTACTACACCTCCAGTAACTGTCTTTATTTTTGGTAATACTGATAACTACTGTATAGAGCCAGTAAAGTCAGGATCTCTGGCTTGTTCTTTGCTCTGATGCAGAGTATTAAGTTTGATTGTGAATTGAGGTCCTGCAGAAATTCCTCTGCTGTGTTTGATGCCTGCAGATGTGGAGGAACGTGTGATGTAACAGGAGAACAAAACGATGTGACTTTGAGAAGAAAGTAGGGAGGTGATGTTTATGTTAGAAACTGAGGCGCTATGTGAGATTCTGAAGGCAGATAAGACATGCAGCAGTTGATTATTTTTATCTTCTAAAAATGAAATACATGTGCTTGTAGGCAGGTGGGTGGTGTGGTAGCAGGCGATGGTTGCAGCAACAGCTTTCTTTCCACTTGGGGGAAGCAGAAACAGGCTGTAAGCGCTATTCTGACATATCGTCACCTTTGAAGCAAGCATTTCCTTATTTCATTTCCACCTGATGAAGTTAAGTCTAGTATTCACTTTCTTTTAGCTCTGCTGTTGGTCTCTACCAACTACTGTGGGATATAGCTGGCTCTGTAGCTGCTAAAGGATATGTTTAGTTGCTGGTGCTGAGCAGTGGGCTTTTAGAGCTTTTCCGCTGAAAGCAGCTGCCTGTTGAGGCCAAAAGCAAGGCTGTGAGAGTGAACCGAAACAACAGAGGGCCTGAAAACCAAAACAATGAGCTTCAAGATGCAGTAAGGCTCCAAAAAGCAGAAAGGGAGTGTGTGGATTGTGTGGGTTTGACAGTGTGAGCAACTTCTTTAACAATATACTGTACTGTTTTACTAAAGCAAAAACAAAACATCTTGTTCTCTACAGAAAATGTCTGTTTTTCAGCTACATTTCTAAAATACTTTTTGAGTTGTTTGCCACAAGTTGTAGTCATACAGTGTATCGGTTACACATTTGCATTTAAATGTGGCACCATATGCTTTTTGGCTGTACTGTTCTTGGTTTAATTGCTGTGATACCCAACACCATCTTGCACAGTATTTCCTAAACAGCAACAGGAAAAACAGCTGTCCTAGTCCAGTTTAATACTGTTAGAAATGACTGGACAATTCCTTTAGATTTATGCTGGACTGGACTGACTCCCTGTCACAGACCTACAGTTAGTGTTGCTTTAGACAGCTTCTGCCAAAGGAGGGAATGTGAATTAACCACAATCACGATTTTTGCTTAATAAAGAGACTAAAGTTAATTTACAATAACCACAATCTTCTCTAACATTACCACAGATGCCACAAGTGTAAAACTTTAGTACTGGATGTAAAAACATATCTTTATCATATTTTCTGAGTTATCCAGTACTGAAATTCTTGTCTGGCCGTAGGGCTGTTCAGTCTCCATCCTTTCCTGCCTACATTTCTCTTTTTCTTCTTCTCTTTATCCTCCTCAGCACCCCAAACAAGTTGAATAGTATGAGACTGTTGAGGGGTCAGATGTTAGAGAGAAGGGTTGGCGTTGAGCAGTAGGATTTGTGTCAAAGTGCCCCTGAGCAGGACCACTTAATTTGCTCTCAGTATGTGTGCATACAGTAAGTGAGAGAGATAAAGAATGAGAGCCTCTTTGACCCAAAAGTGCACTATAATGCAGTGATTTCACAGCTGTCCTACCATATTTTTCTCACAGCGAGTGTTGTCTCCATCACTTCCCAATGCTGACCTTTCTCTTGCCCAGTTTTTCTTCAGGTCACATCGCCAACACCTCCTCATCACATTTTCTTCTCTTGTTATAGAAGATGCACTCTGCTAGAGGTGTCACAGCACAGCCTGGATCTCGGGCTGAGGTCTTTATTGTGCCACATGGCGTGCAGAGAGCAACGTTCCAGACGCGGAGAATCTGAAATGTTCATGTTGTTTAACTGGCTTCTTGAGAGCGTGACGGATATAGTTTGCATTTGTGGAGCAAAGAGAGAGAAAGTAAAAAGCAGCTGGAAGAGCTGAATAGAAAAAAGAAAAATCACAAGACAACAGTGAAATTTGTGCTTTAATGGTAAATTCAGGAGAGTAGATGAATAAATGCATCATTGTGGAGACTTGTGGGGAGTGAGAGAAGGTAAAAGAAGAAGGAAGAGAGAGACAAGGACAGAGTTGGAGAGAGACAGTGAGAGATGGCCTTGCTGCTGTGGATATGAAACAGAGATCTAACGCCTGCTGCGTCCTCCCCTTCCACAGGGAGATAATACTAATGATTTGTCCTGTGGCCTGTGGCTTCTCATTATGGGCTCTGCTTGCCATCACATGTAACACACACACACACACACTGAAGTGTGTATGTGTTATTGCAAGGACCTCATTTCACTCTCTCAAGGTTGGGACACACATTGATATAAATATCATTTGGACATCACGACTGATGTGGCTGATTCATCTCAGTGTTGCTGTAATCGGTATTTTTATATTAACAGTGATTACATGATGTGATGGGGTCACTTACTGTACACTGATGAGCACACAAAGAATTGTCATCCAGTTCTACAGTTCCCCTCAGTTTTATGGAGCTTTATAGCATATTTGCTTTCATAGTGTTGACTTTCAGCTTTAGTGTTTTGGTTCAGATGGTTGTTGTAAAAACTCTCTATTGTACATATTTTAATAATGGCATCAAACACTGCAATAATTGATTTTTTTGTCTGTTGGGTCTTTGCAAACGAGCTGTGAACACAACACTGACATGCTATCAATATCTGGATTGATATAAGGACCTTGTTAGCTAACAGTTGTTTGTTTACAGCACCCATCCAGCAGTGAGTGGCAGTGTTCAGCTGGAACTGTGTTTGTTCACCATCTGCTGAATTGAGCTCTGCTTTGGTCTTCACAAACCCACGAGGGAATGTTTTGGCTATTTATTTGTCGAATGCTCTGCTATGTTCACTAGCTAGTTGCTATTTGTCATCTCCAAAGCTGTCTTATTTACACGTGTACTGTTCTTGCTAACTTTTAGCTACTAGTACAGGATATGTGACATGTGGGAGTGCAGGACGAGATTGTTTAAAAGACCTCATAAGTAGAAGTGGCTAGTTGACTGGCTGCATAGTGCTAGTTATACACCTAGAAACACAGTTACCTCTTAGATGCTGTGTTATGTCACCTAGAAGAGTAAGAAGTCTGTTATGCTGTGGGTCAGTCATCACATGAGCTGTTGGGTTGAAATTTATGATGAAGCTGGGAAATTACCATCATGCTGTGTGTTGTAAATGTAATGTGGACCGGGTGTGATGAGAGCTGAGATCCCAGGTAGACTGCAGGTGCTGTGGGTGTAATTCAGACACATCTGCAGTGGTAATTACTTCAGTTACCACAGTCCCCAACTCATTTCCTCTTCTCCACTTTAACATCCAAGTCAAGCTTCAGTAGCTGCTCACCCTAATTTAATAACAGGAGGGATACTTACATCAGCTCTCTTATAGCAGCACTTCAAGAAGCACCAGGCGGTTGATAAATCAGGTGAAACAATGCAAGAAGCAGGGGAAATCACCACGAGCCTCCCATAGCCTCAGGATGTCAAAATCCTGTCCAAACGCTTCAAAAATCTAAATAATACACACACACACACATAAAGATGTGAGAGGAGGCTGCTAAAGAAGAGCTGAATATCATTAGGGTAATATTTCATCTCAACCCATCAGGACACCAGAGCAAAACAATCAAACACATCAGTGCCCAGATCTTTTTGTGGCCACAGAGAGCATACTCATTCAGAGTAGAATGCAGCAGATGAAGGACGAATGTCTTCAAAATAGATAGAATAGATCCTGAGCACTGGTAGCAGAAAGTATGACACAGTAGAACCATGCACAGGACACAACATGTGCTTGAACATCTGATCTGTAAATAACATATTTTCATTTAAAGGAATATGAATCTGTTGTTCATTTGATTTGTTTTATACAGTAAATATGAACCTACAGTTAGCTGCTGGCTAAGTGACTATAGACAGAGGGAAAGGGTTAAGCTCTCTCATATGGTAACCAAATCTGCCTACCGGCATCTTTTTGGTGTTAATGTCCGAACACGCTGTCACGTTTGTTTAGTTTGTAAAACTTCACTCATTTCAATATAGTCATTTGTGACTTCTCCAGATCTTTGGGGTCTGGATCCTCAGTTTAGGAACTACTGTTCTGTTGAGACAGCAGTTTGCTGATTTTAATGTTTATCCTTTAAAAGACAGCAAAACATACAGTCTTATGCAAAAGTTTAGGCACCCCTTGATAAATAACAGATTTTGGTGATTTTTTATTTGAACAGATGTTAACACAGTTTCTCTTGGAAATGGAAAAAATGCACAATATTTTCAGCAAACAGTGATGCATAGTTACTTCTTATGCCATAAATTGAACAAAAATAAAAAATAAAAACATTATTATGGCATGGTGCAAAAGTTTGGGCACCCTAAGAGTTCCAGAGTCTCAAAGTCTCTCACAAGGTATCAGACCTTAATCAGCTCGTTAGATCTGATGCACAGCAACAGCTGTCATTGGTAAATGCCAATTTCAAAGCTGTACAAATACCAGATCTCATCTTGACCTCCACAGTTCCCCTGATCTGCCATCTCTTAATTACATTTCTTACTGTGGAAACTGCAAGCTGACAACGCTTTGCTATCTTCTTGTAGCCTTCTCCTGCATTGTGGGCGTCAATAACTTTCATTTTCAGGGTCTTACACAGCTGCTTAGAGGAACCCATGGTTGCTGGGTGTCCACAAGTGTGTGCACAAGGTTTGAAGAGTCAAAGTATTTGTACAGCTTTGAAATTGGCATTTACCAATGACAGCTGTTGCTGTGCATCAGATCTAACGAGCTGATTAAGGTCTGATACCTTGTGAGAGACTTTGAGACTCTGGAACTCTTAGGGTGCCCAAACTTTTGCACCATGCCATAATAATGTTTTTATTTTTTATTTTTGTTCAATTTATGGCATAAGAAGTAACTATGCATCACTGTTTGCTGAAAATATTGTGCATTTTTTCCATTTCCAAGAGAAACTGTGTTAACATCTGTTCAAATAAAAAATCACCAAAATCTGTTATTTATCAAGGGGTGCCTAAACTTTTGCATAAGACTGTACAGTAGTACTTAGAAGCAATAACTACTGGACAGACAAAAACAGCACGCAAACAAAATTATTTAACACTGATTTATAAACTTCCATATTTGGAAAATCAAGTCAAATTTTTTTTGTTCTTAATGTAGAACTTGTTTGTATCAGATTAAGCCAAAGATGTAGAAATCATCCACGTACTTGTATAACACTCAAAGAGAGCAGCCGTGCTTGTGTGTGTGTGCAATCAGAGTGTGTTATGGATGAGTACTTCACGGTGCTCGGCCCGTCATACATGACTGCTAATAAGGTTTGTACAAACAATAGCTAGTGACCCCTATGAATAAAACAACATGAATAATGCATTATTTATAATTATATTAGGTGAAACAAGTAAATAAACCATGTATCCGGGTTTGTTCCAACCAAAAACCCTGGATGACTAGAGAGGTTCGACGATTGTTACGGGAGAGGAATATAGCCTTTAGGTCTGGCGATATGAATTCATACAGCTTTGCCAGAGCTAATCTGAGGAGAGGTATTCGGTGGGCCAAACTGCATTACAAGCAGAGGATTGAGGATAATATTAGTACAAACAATACGCGGAAGGTGTGGCAGGGGGTTCAGCATTTAAATAATCATAGATGACATCTTGCTGCTGTCGACCGGGGCCCTTCCACTGAAAAACTTGCCCCTTTTGGAGGTGCGGCCACCAAGGCCAGCCGTATCACAGCTACCAGCCCACAGCGGCCCCTCCCACAGGGTGGAGGAGTATGAGGTGAGGCGCACGCTGAGGTCTGTGAATCCGAGGAAGGCTGCTGGACCTGATGGCATCGCTGGTCGGGTGCTGAAGGACTGCGCAGATCAATTGGTGGGGTCTTCACCAAGATCTTCAAATCGGTCCTTACACCAGTCTATTGTCCCACCTTGCCTCAAGTCTTCAACCATTGTCCCTCTGCCCAAAAAATCTACAAGCACCAGCCCTAAGGATTATAGACCAGTCGCACTCACCCCGGTTATCATGAAGTGTTTTGAGAAACTGGTACGCAGTCATATCACCTCATGTCTTCCATCTACACTGGATAGCCACCAGTTTGCACACCGGGGAAATAGATCTACAGAGGACGCTATTAACACCACTCTCCATACTGCTCTGTCTCATTTGGAACAGCCGGGGAGCTATGTGAGGCTGTTGTTTGTGGATTTTAGTTCCGCTTTTAACACCATCCTTCCTCACAGACTAGTGTCCAAACTACAGGCTCTTGGACTTTCCAGCTCCATATGCCTTTGGATTTTGGATTTTTTGACTGCCCGCCCGCAGAGGGTTAGAGTAGGTTCTTATATGTCGACTGTCCTCACCCTCAGTACCGGCTCCCCACAGGGCTGTGTGCTGAGTCCCCTGCTCTATACCCTCTATACACAAGACTGTACCCCTACCCACCCCAGCAATACCATCATTAAGTTCGCTGATGACACTACTGTGGTGGGGCTTATCTCAAGGAACGATGAGTCCGCCTACAGGGATGAGGTAGAGCAGCTTTGTGGCTGGTGTTGGGAAAACAACTTGATCCTCAACACCGCCAAGACCAAGGGACTGGTAGTGGACTTTAGGAGGAATAAAACGGACATTAAGCCACTGTTCATCGACGGAGATCAGGTGGAGAGGGTGGCCGTTTTTAGGTTCTTGGGTGTTACCTTTGAGCAGCACCTGACTTGGGGCGCAAATACCACTGCTTTGGTGAAGAAGGCCCAGCAGAGATTGTATTTTCTCAGTCTTTTGAAGAAAAATAATCTGAATGAGAAACTGCTGGTGTCCTTCTATCACTGCTCAATAGAGAGCATTTTAACATACTGTGTCTGTG